CTTGATAAGACTGATGTGCTAAGAATGTTTCCTTTTAAGGAATACAACTCTCAAAACATCATCCCAACAAAAAGGAAAGATTATTTCCTACAGCAATGCCTGTAAAATAGATGAAATTTGAAGTGGGATTACACATTACTGTTTCTATCTCACAAGATGTCCATGTATTTTCTTCTTTTAAGTTACATCTAGTTCAATGATTACTTAGTGAGTAATATACACCACATACAGCTTTCCAAAAGTATTTTAAACACCACTTTTAATTAGTATTATTAATTAGTATTTCCTAATCTGGGAACTTTTCTAAAACTTTAAATTTTTTAAAGAATTCTTCCAACAATACATTTTTTTTTAGTTTAGTTTATATCTCTATTAGAATGAACACACACTTCCATATAAAACAGGCAAGATTAAAATTTCTTTTTCAATTCCAAATGCTGTATCTACAATTTTATCAAATACTCTTTCACACTAATGCAGAAATTCTGCTTGATTTTTCTTTTCTGCTGCAACTCAATACAGGTAGTTAAGAATAGCTAACAATATAATTCCACATGATAGTGTATCTGTGTTTACATCTGGCTCTAATCACATGCTTAAAAGTGATTTATGCAGGATGAAGCAAAAATGGGGAGGGAGAAACAAAATAAAACAAAATATAAGAAATAGTTAATGCTGTTATTTAAAAAATATTCTCAATTTCATAGAAATTTCTCAAAGCTATTAAAACTGCAAATGTAGGGTAAGGCATGTGAAATAAAATTATTTTACGTAAGGATCATCTTACAAGTGGTTGACAATTTATAAGATACTGTAAGTTTTTCTCCATGCTACAAATAGTATGTCAAGGTTTTGTGGTAAAGTTCCTCAGTTCATTTAAAAAAGTAAATGAATCATAGTTACTGACTACTGACTTCTAGGAACTAGAGCACTCCAAATTCAAGGAAATATAAAGCTATTAATGCATAAATACAAACAAACAAGAATCATGACACTAAAATCAGAAATTCACACTGGTTTTTCCTGACAATTCTGGTAATTCCTACTTAATTCAAGATGAGCAGTATTACTACTGCATTATGGTACTGGTGTTGATGCATTTATTGAGACCCCATAAAAATAATTAGGAGAATAAATATGTCTAATATTTGACCTAGTTAAAGGCATCTAAAAGTTTACAGTCATATTAAAAATAATTAGATGGACACAAGAAGGACAACTAAATTCATTAAGTTATGCAAAACTTTTATGTAAAAAGTCATTATATTTAGAGTCTACTGAAAAGAATTATTTGAATAGAAACATACAACCAAAGTAGAGATTTTTTACATATAAAAGCTCAAAAACAAACTTTTCCTTAATTCACCATATGCAAATTTAAAATGTATACACTACTTGAGTCTGATTCTTAATAAGAAAGAAAACAAAGTCACTGACACCTGAGTGCCTACTAGTTAGTCACTCCTTATTAGTTGTCTGCTAACTCATGTATAGACTGAGCCATTTAAGTTATGTGAAATAATTACAGTTTTATCAAGTTGATAATTGCATTTTTTTAGTTAGCCATTTACATCCTTAATCATCTGAAAACATTTATTTTCAGGGATCTTAGGAAGAAAAAGAGGAGACTGAAAAGTACAGTAAGCAACATAGCAAATATGGGCAGATCATTTATACATTCTTCTCCAAATCTGTCAATAAGAAACTTAAAAAAACAATAATAAAGCAATGCTAAAACCATTCAAAAGCAAGACTAAACTGATGGTGATCTTAATTACAATATTTAAAAAACTTCAAATTTATAAAACTGTTGAGTTAAAACATTCCTATTTCTTTCCAACCTTAGCAGACTAGAAAATACTTATGCCTAAGGTATACAGGGCTGTTTTAACAGTAAGACACAGAATTATACCTAAGGTCCTAATCAATGCAGAGGTCCCAGTCAACAGTGGATAAAAAAGACTCATGGTACTATTATATCAATAATGATTTTTGTTAGCATCCTCTACTGGTGGCTTTCAAAGATAGCAAGTGGAAATGGTACAAATGACATAAATGACCTGCTAGTCCATTTAAAGTGAATTTATCAGCATATGGTCATTAGTAGCTAGAGTACAACCCCCCCCCATAACATATAAATAATAAAAACCAAACAGAATGCAAAACTAGAAAATGAGAAGGCACATTTTGAAAATACAACAAAGCATTACCTTATAAATGGTAAAAATCAATTTTAGCAATTCTAATGCAACTCCTTACAGATGACTGACATCATTACATAAAGTTACTACACAAGGTTTGATACCTTGGCCAAACCTTGCTCAGTTAGTTTACCCTTGTCAAATTACATTACTTGATTCTCCCATTCATACTCTGATGATATAGTCCAGAAAGAAAATTAAAATGTTTTACTGGAGGTTCAGCAGTAAAATCTGCTTACCTTATTTTATAATGGATGAAAATATTTACATATAAATAACATCATAAAGCATCTCTATGTTTATTTCCCACTGTATACATCATGTATTCCTTCATTAAAAAGATTTAAGAGTTAACATTTCTCCAAGCAATTCTCTCCTCAAAACTGCAACTTAATTATGATTGCGTTGCTAAGAAATATTAACCAGTACCTATCCTGCGGTTCCACAACACAATAGCACAGTTTCATTTTTTTAAATTTGCAAATTATAAGGCTTAATCAAATAGCATGTCTGTAACTAACAGTAATGGATGAAATGCATCTGAGAACAAAAAGAAATGAAAGGAGAGAGCCAGAAGTGATGAAAATGGAAGATACCTGTAGTAATACAGTGCTATCTTAAACACCTTTTGTTTTCTGAGTAAAGCATACTGCAGTCAAGGCATTTGGCGCTAAACAGCTCCAAATCTGTTTTCCTAATATTAAGCACAAAGGAAAAACACTAACAGCCAAGGTGGTAAATGAATCCCTCCCTTGAGAATGAAAGCAGAAGACAGGAGGGGGCTGACATACATGCAGGAGAAAACTAAACACCATCTTTTTTCTACCTGCACAAGTTGCCATTTGCTGCAGCGACCGAGAATCTCTTTTTCCTGTTGATTTCAAGTACCTTTCAGGAGAGCTTTTCTCCCTTAAGTCATCTGTTGATATGCCTTATGAGTATAATAATCATATCACAGGATCTTTAGGAGAAAAATCCATTCTTTCCTGTTCAGGTAAACATGTTTACAGCAGCTGCTCAGACGCTGGGTGGTTCAGACTCACATGTCACACACATGTCGTCAGCAACAAGAAAAGCCCCTTTCTCTGGCGATGAACATTTTAAATAAGGTAACAAGCGAACAACCCTTTCAGAACCAACTTACCTTTCATAAAAGCCACATCAGCAACAGCGGCAACAGCTCAATATAGAACACATTATTTGACGCTAAAACAGGAAATTAAAATTGCAATAGCCTATGCTGCGCTCCTAGCTATAGCAAGTCAGCTCTCCACAATGAGGATAGCAAATATTAGTTATCAATCATAACTAATAGACGTCTTTAAAACATAAATGTTTATTTGAACAACTAAAGCGATTTATGAAAACAGTGATTTTAATGCCGACTCAAATATATAAAAATACGTTTACGAGTGAAAGGAAACCTCTTGAAACAGCTTACAATCTTCATACTTGCTTCTAGACAGGAAATCCCACACAAAATCTAAAATTGCCAGGAAAGGTTACAAAACCTCGCGTTTCGCATCCCAGAAGGGAGGGAGAAGGGGAGTCTGGCGCGGGGGGTGGGGCGGGAGCAGTGCGCGAGAGTTTTTCCTTAAACACATATGTCCTCATTTCCAAGATACGGCGATCCCTTTATTGGCGCATCTATTTCTTCACTCCGAAAAACTCGTTTTAAAAATAACGCAGGGACCAAAAGGAGCCCCAGGGTCCGAAATGTACGTGTAATTCCTTATATAGACTCAGCTGCAGCCAGCGGCAGGGCCGTTGCCGCCCATTATTATACAAACAGGTACCCGGCCGCGCAGGCGGGGGACCTCTCCTGGCTCCCTCCCGCCGCCCCCGGGAGAAGTCTCGCCCCTCTCGCCACAGGAACTGTCCAGACAATAACAATCAGCAGACCTTTCGCTGCTAAACTAGAGGGAAAGCAAGCCCAGAATCCACCCCGAGATAAGCAGAAATGCAATCAACTTACAACATCTCTCCCAACTGGAAAAGACGACTGTGCAACAAACCACCACATGTTCGGCTCTTTCCTCCTCCTCCGCTATTATTTTTTTAATTAACTCTCATGCCAGAGGGTTGTGTATTTCGTCGGCGCATCAGCACAAATCAATAAACACTGCAGCTGCAGCTAGAGCAGCAGACCCGAGCGTCCGTCGGTCCGTCTGCCCCCTCCCCCACCCTCTTTCCACCCGCGACCTAGAGCGCCATCCAAGCTCCATTATCCAGCTTCAGCGCTCCGTGCGTCCGGCCCAGGTAACAACTTCCCCAAAAACCGAAAGAGAAAAAAGAAAGGCGTAAGCACAGAACCCCAACCCAGCGCGGGGTGGGGGATCTGTCTGTGGTGCTTCCCTGTCTCCAACACCAGGTTAACAACTCCACAAACACACCCGCTGCCCAGCTCGCCGCCATCCACAGATCTCCCACAGCAGCAAGTAGGTGCCGTTCCTGCCCCGTCTCGCCGGCCCCTCCACTGGCGCCCCACAGGACGTGGACCTCACTCGTGGGGCTCGTCTCGGTGCCCGGAGGCCGGGGGCCCAGGGCACGGTGGCCGGCGGCGGGGGAGAGGAGGGGCGCTTAGGGACCCACGCCTCCGCTAATCCCCGTTCCGCGAACGCGCCTGGCCGGCCGCTCACAACTTTACCGCGGCCGGTCGAGCCCGGTCCGCCTGAGGCGCGCACCGCCGGCGC